TGTGGTGAATTATTGATGTCGTGTGAATTTTTTCTTTTCATATAGTTTGTTCTTTTTGTAAAGATTACTTACTGTAACTTTTTTTCTTGTTTATTTCTTAAGGGGGTCACAGTAGACGACCACGACTGGTGTGCTGTACTGAAAAATGTGAACTCATGGGATATCATTCAGCGTGAAAGTGATCCCGACTGGACATTTGCTCCAGATACTTTCGAAGAGTACATTGTGCGCAATTTATGCAGTAGAAAGAGGGCCCCAGATGGTACACACGACGTCACAAGCGATCATGTCGAAAATTATTCTCAGCCAGTCCCCGCTCCTCTGTTGGATCGTCTGCGCAAGTTTTTTTCCCGCCATTAAAGTGTGCTACCAGCCCAAATACACAGAGGAACAGAAGAACCAAGCTCAGATCGACTACTGGATAAGATCGTATTACAAGCACGGCTCAAGATAGCCAACGTAACTCATACCCATCTCATAGCCGTGCTTGTAATAGGATCTTATCTAGTAGTTGATCTGAGCTTGGTTCTTTCTGTTCCTCTATGTATTTGGGCTGGTAGCACACATTAATGACCGGAAAAAACTTGCACAGACAATCCAACAGAGGTCGGGGACTGCCTGATAATAATTTTCGACATAATCGCTTGTGACGTCATGTGTACCATTTGGAGCCCTCTTTCTACTGCATAAATTGCGCACAATGTACTATTCGAAAGTATCTGGAGCAAATGTCCAGTCGGGATCACTTTCACGCTGAATCATATCCCATGAGTTCACATTTTTCCAGTACAACACACCAGTCGTGGTCGTCTACTGTGACCCCCTTAAGAAATAAACAAGAAAAAAGTTACAGTAAGTAATCTTTACAAAAAGAACAAACTATATGAAAAAAAAATAAAAATTCACACGACATCAATAATTCACCACAAATCAAAAGTAAGTTCGTTAATCAAGTGGTCCACTACAGACGAAACCTGCGTAAAAATAAAAAAATTAAAAATTAAAAAAAATCAAGCAAAATAAAATTATATTGAATTATGAAAAGAGGTTGGGAAGC